TCATGGGAGGATGCACTTGCCGATATAGGGCAACAATTTAAGTCTCTGGATGACTTCTGAGAAGCCCTTAGCAAGTTTGCTATAGCCCACCATTTCACATACCATCTTGTTAAAAATGAGTGATACTGCATAGGGGCAAAATGCAAGGGTGATGGATGCAAATGAGAAATATATGCTTCGAAATTAAGCATGACGAAAAGTTTTAGCATCAAAACATGGAAAAGAGAACATTCATGTAATATTGGGACAAATGATGATGTAAAAAGAAGAGCGTCACAAAAATGTATTGCATCTTTAATCAAAATAAATTAAGTGATACTGTGCATTACAAAGCTAAATAAATCATGAATGATTGTTTCGAGAATATGTTCTACAAATACCCTACTGCAGGGCTTGACGAGGGAAAGAAACAGCCATCAAAGACATACATGGTTCATAAGAGGAGGAATACAACAAGTTACCTGTATATGTAAATCGTGTGATTGAAACGAATCCTGATAGTTATGCGACGGGACAAGTATGACAAGATGACATATTTCATCGAATGAAGCTTTTATAGCTCAATACATGGCTTCAAAAGTGGATGTCGTCCACTTATATTTCTCGATAGGACATCATTGAAGGAACGATACCTTGGAACTTTACTTGCTGCCAAATCACTCGATGGAGAAGAACAAATGTTTCATGTTGCATTCGCTATTGTGGATGCCGAAAGTACCGACAACTGGGTATGGTTTATGGAATTTATAAAGATTGTTATTGGGACATATCGTGAAATTACTTTTTTGTCTGATAGACACCCCGGTCTAGTCGATATTGTTTGTCAAGTTTTTGAGAATGCCCATCATGTCTTCTGTGAGTGCCATTTAGCGGAGAGTTTCAAGAATGAAGCAAAAGACATATATAATGATATTAAGAAGGCAGCTGTTAAATATTTTGTAGCAGCATGTAGAGCATACAGGCCACAAGAGTATTTTGAGAAGATGAATGAAATTAGGTGAATTTCTGAAAACGCATTCAAGTGGTTCATGGAAGCATCGCCAGACCGTTGGGCCACATCACTCTTCAGGGGTAAATGATATAATCAAGTAATAACCAATATGGCTGAGTCATATAACAAGTGAATTCTAGAAGCACGAGACATGCCAAATCTTCAGTTTGTTGACTTGATTAGTAGACAAATCATGAAACTAATGGTCATCCGAAGCTTAGAAGCTAAAACAAGGAGTACAACACTTACCTCGCACGCGCAAAACAAACTAAAAAAGATCATAAAGCAATCCCTTTCAGTTCACGTCATTGTATCAAATGGAACAGTGTTTGAAGCAAGGGGTGATCGCATGAATTATAAGGTAGATATAATTGCACGAGAATATGAATGGTGGGGTTGGCAAGTAACAGGCTTGTCCTGTAAACATAATCTCGTTGACTATTGTGAAGACTATTTCACGGTTGAAAAGTTTCATGAAACATATTCCTCTCCTATCGTGCCAATTACCTTGATCGATCTATCTAGGCATATGCGTAGACAACTTTCTCCAGATAGAATAATAGTACTTCCACCTCACTCAAGACGGCCCCCTAGTCGACCTAAAAAGAAGTACATCGAGTCACAGGAAGTACTAGTGCAACATATTCACTGTAGAAGTTGCAAAAGAACTGGTCACAACATGACAACTTGTAAAGCACCCACTTGAAGGCATTGTTTTTAGTTATCTTCTTTGTTCTGTCTTTTTAAATTGTAGCACCCACTTGTGAGAAATTTTATCAGTACATATATTTTTACCAGTACATACATTGGATATACCACTTTTCTCTCTCTTTTTTATTGGATATGCTACTGATTTGTGTTTTCGCTTTTCTCATGAGTATGACTCATTTCTTTCTCAAGTGTTTATGTATACTATTTGACTTCTTATATTGGATATGCACATATATTGGATATCCATATATATCTGAAATTCATTTATTGGATATGCAATATATTGGATATGCACATATATTTGAACCATCCCCTTTTGTGTTAACTATAAAATTCAAGAAGCTCATGGTTGGATATCTAGTGGAAACACATGGTTGAATTGCTAACAGACTTTCACTCTCCAGTAGTTATGGATGGATGAATCTTTAAAAAATGTCAATGCATTGATAATGTGAAGTTCTTAAAGAAACACTTAGCTCCAATTTATTTTCTTTTTTAAGTTTTCTATATCCAAATCTGTCTCATTGCTTTTTACTAATTTCTTCTTCTTACTTATACTAAGTAGTAGGACCCGACATATCAATATTTAAAATATTGAGGTTTGCTCACCATATAATTCTTAATTGCGTGACAATCCACCATATTGTAGTGGAAATTAAACTTTTGAATATGCACATATTTTGGATATGTACATATATTGGATATGCACATATATTTGAGATTCATTTATTAGATATGCAACTGTTCTATCTCTTTTTTAATTGGATATACTACTTGTGGCTATTTTTTTATGTCAATTATGGAAATAGAATTAGCAATGCAAGAACATGTTTACGCAAGGAAGAGAAACCCCATTTTGCTCTTCGTCGCAGTCGCAATATCATATATGAATTTCTGCAGGCAAATCCCATGTACAACCCTCAACAAGCCAATTGGTATGTTATTGATTATATGTTTATTCTTATTTTATCGTCTTACTATATCTTAAACTTATGAAAATATGTATAATGGTTAATTTTGTTTTTTTTTCATTCTCTACTTACATCAACATACCTATATAGAGTTGCTACAAGCTGCAGTTAATAATAAAGTATTAGCTGGGGAATCCATGGGTTAAGTATAGGCGGCTCATGATTTGCTATTGAAAAACATTCTGTAGAGACAGGTGCCAAGGAGACTGCGCAGACTATATGTGGAGATGTGCAAAGTGAAAGTGAAAGAGAAGAAGAGGATGATTATGAAGAAGAAGATGATGAAGACAGAGAAGAGGATGATGATGGAGAAGATGATGATGAGGCAGAACAGGATGATGATGGAGAAGAGGATGATGAGGCAGAACATGATGATGATGGAGAAGAGGATGATGAGAGAAGAACAAAGAAAAAAATTTGATCACTTTCAAGCCCCAGCGTTGCAAGAGGAATCAAGATGGAATTTGCGGTCACGAAGAGATAAGAATGCCTACAAGGAACCTGATGTGAGGGAAAAGAGTGTTCTTCGTTGGCCAATAAAGGCATTGAGGCAGAGAAAATGACTTTTTTTTTTCTTGGATATGTGTATTTGAAACAAATGTTAGATTTGTCTTTTCAATTATGAGGAAGTCATCATGTTCGAAATTGTGTATTTTTTTGACAATGTAACTTGGTTATATGATGCGGGTTTTTTCGGATTTGATCTTGTCTACTCTGATCTTATTTTCCTCTTCAAGTTCTTTTTTCCCTCAAAGTTGACTCTTCTTGTTCATTTATGTTGATCATCTTGATTAAGGCATCATGCAAATGGTAACTTTTGTGTTCTATGGTTTATAGACATTGAGCTCCGTGATTTCATATATTCATGGAATGCATCGTTCTCATTAAGTGAACGTATGCATTTGTTACCGTTGTTTATATTAAGTTAGTGAATCTCATTTATGGGGCAAGCCCATGAAGCAATGTATCTTTAGTTGATGTTAAGTTAGTGATATGAGGCCCGAGTTCAAATTTTTGGTGTATTTACTTGACGTATCTTTAGTTCGGTAACTGTAGCAAGATAGAAGAACCATTTTAGAAAGTAATAGTGATTTGCAATAACTTAATAATTCACGGTACTTTACAATTGTGGAATTTGCAAAAAAAAGAATCCACTGGTCTATAAAACGCACTCCGGCAGCGTCATCGCACTCTCCGACAGCGTCACCGCACTCTCCGACAGCATCATTGCATGCTCCGGCAGCGTCACTATTGGCTCCGGCAGCATCACCATTGGCACCGGCAGCATCTCATAGGCTCTGGGCATTGACTCCAAGCTCTCTGGCACCGCCACTGCATGCTTCGCCAGTGTCACCAAGCGCACCGACAACGCCTTGATATAACTCACGCTCCGGTAGTTGATGTACATGCTCTGGCAGCTAACCTTCTAGACTTTCGGCGCTCCGGTGTCGAAAGACCACGTTTCGGCAATGGAGCTTCTGGAGCCGCAGCGCTCCGGAGATGTGTGACAACGCTCTGGCATCAAACCTCTGACAGTGAACATTTTGGAGCCACAACGCTCTGGCAATGATGGACTATGCTCCGGCAATGGAGCTTCTGGAGCCACAGTGCTCCGGCTATGGTGGACCACGCTCCAGCAATGGTGCTTCTGGAGCAGCAATGCTCTGACGATGGTTTACAATGCTCTGGCGATGGTTTACAATGCTCCCGCATTACATCTCCCCGAGCTACGGCGCTCCGACGATGTATGACCGTGCTTCGGCACTAGTTTTACTCGCTCCGACATTCTTTTTGTTCTCTCCGGCAATAGGTTATGACACTAAGGGTTCCGGCAATGTTTGAATAGCGCTCCGGCAATTAGACTGAGCGCTTCGGCATGCTGCTCCGGCAATGGAGTCTTTGGTGCCGCGGTGCTCCGATAATATGGCACCGTGCTCCGACAGTGTTTCTTGACGTTTCACTTCAGCAATGTTATATAATGCTCCAGCACTATGTTACTTGGGATCCGCGTGTCCATTTGATTTGTACAAGAAAGGTATTTTTGTCCAAAAAATTTAAACTTTTTAGCATGGAGAGGTTTTTGCGAGAAAAGGTTTTCCGAAAAAAAAAATGTGAAGAAAAATTGAGGTGGAGGTAAATTAGATAGATAGTTCATTTTTAGGGGTTGTCGTAAATTTCCCAAAAATAACCACCTAGAAGAAGGATGGCCATCCCGAGTAGTAAGCAATTGCGGGATCCGTTGTGGATTTGTAATATTTAGTAAGGTCATATTTAGTCTTGATACTCTGAATAATTCCAAAAATAAAATTATTCTCTTGCAGTCATGCCGGCAACTTTTTCCCGAAATCAATTTCTCATCTCTCTCTCTTAAATCAATTTCTCCTCTCAGTCTCTAGGTTTCAATTTCGTAAACGGGAAGTATAATCTCACTCTCTCTTTCTCTAGGTTTTATCCAGGGGAAGTACAACGGAAGGCAAAATGCATTTGATGGTTTTTCGCGGAGAATTGCAGGTCAACGCCGTGCATTTCAAGTGATCAGATTTAGAGTTTTCAGGTCTCCTCTCTCTCTCTCTCTCTCTCTGCAGATTTAGAGGTTTTGTTCTTACTCGCTTTTAGAGGAGTGCAGGTTTTTCTCCTTGTGATTTCATGTTTTATTGCCAAATTTGAGGCTTTTTCACTGTTAAAACATGAGAAATTTTGTGGGTTTTGTGGATTTTGAGTTTTGGGTGATGGAAATTAGGGTTTCTACTTAATATTTAGAAGTTTTAATAGATCTTTCTCTCACAAGGTAGCCTGAAATCTCCAGATTTGGTTGGAACAATCAAAATCTGGACGTTAATTTGGAGGTTAAGAAAGAGTGAATTTCTTCAGGTTTGAGAATTTATCGCTTCTGCAATGGGTGATGATACTCTTCAGTCGCGGTATGTGAAACTAACAAAGGAGCAAGATGCTCCAGTTGACGACATCACACCAGGAGAACTGAATCAGCCCCTTCAGGTGCCTCAGGTAATATTATTCTTTCTACCTCTTTGTCCTTGTATTTTTCGATGTTTCAGAAAATTTTTTTGCTTTGATTTATGTGATTAAGCTGTATTGTGATCCAGGATCAATCAAACACAAAATGATTATTTAATGCTAGATTTGTTATTTACCGATATTTTTGAGATTGGTTTAGTTAATTGCTTGCTAATGAAGGTTTTTCTAGATGGTGCTTGAGTGTTTTTTGTTTTTTTTTGGGGAATTTTTGAGAGGAATGCTGTGTATCATTATCTAATTCTTATGTTTTTGTATCCTGTGAAATGTTCGATTGTTTGAAGTAGAATAGAGTTTGGATTTGGTAGTTCTCCATGCAAGAACTAGTAACAAGGCTGAGTAACACAAATGCTCATTATTTATCAACTGACTGATTGTATGTGGCACTTTATTTGATTTTCTTTGTTATCCATTGTTGTAATTTATTGGGCACGTAATTTCTAGTTTCTAGAAATTTTTTTTGGGAAAAGTCCTGATTAATCGGGAATTTTGTAACACATCAAGGTCTGAAAGAGTTGGTGCTGGGGGATTATTGAATGGAATGTTATATCAAGTTGCTGAACTTCTCTTTTCTCCTTACTCTTGCTAAGCCAGTGATTGGATTTCTATGAAGTGATTTTTTTGGGTTTTCGTGTGGTTACAAACTTATTCACTTCATCATCAGTACTGTTTATATATAGTATAAGTTGGAGATCTGTGCCCTAAGGTTTTGCTAGGAGAATCATATATTGGAAGTCCGTGAATAAAAACTTGTTTCAAGTCGGAAAGTCTCGCTTGAGTCAATCAACTCATTCAGTGGGTAAGTTTTATAATGAAAATCTTGAAATGTGCCAGAGGTTTTCCTTAAAATTTTGTGCTGATTGGAAAGTATATATATATTGCCTCTTCCAATGTTGTATTCTTGTGTTTTGACGTAAGTGGTGAGCTACTTATTATTCCGATTACAAACATTTTGTTTTTCTAAATTTTATACTCAAACATTTGAAAAAACTTTATGTTTTGTGATCTCTCTGTTTGACTCATTAAGTGGGATCAGTTTTGGCAGTGACTGAGTTTGAGTTTTGAGGCACTGATTGAAAGCTACAAAATGTGCTTGGTATATGCATTTGAGTTTTTGGGGAACCATATTGTAATCCCGTGGCTTATATACTGTAGTTGAATGGGGTTATTACCAACCAGCGAAATGATGGATGGTGGTGGAGAGTGCGACGCACCACGGGTGGTTGTTTCCTGTTTTGGTGGGTCCCACTTTCCATTATTACCCGCCTTCTTACCCCTCTATGGTTTGAGCCATTGGGCCATAGTATATGCAGTTGTCCGTTTCATGGAGAGGAAATTCATTTCTTCACTTCAGGTCTTTATAATCCAATGGAGTGTGATGGTCCACTGAAATCTGGATTTGAGTTAGTTTTTTCTTTGGTTGGATGTAATGAGACATTATTTTTGAATTATCTTTGAGTCAGCTCTGATCAATCTCTTTTTAATTTTTTTATTTGAGCATTCTGCATATTTAAGAGTTCATTGTCCAATTTACTTCCTAGTTCCTATCGCTATATGCTTATTCGTTTGAGTGACGATTCTTTTCTTTCATAAAGTAGAAATTGCGTACTTTGTGTAGAGGCTTATTGCACTTTATGGATGCAGCTAGTTGTGCACAGATGTCGAGAGTGTGGACAGCCTCTTCCTGACAGCTATGAGCATCCTGCTGATGAGCCATGGACAACTGGAATATTTGGTTGTGCAGAAGATACTGATAGTTGTAAGATCTACTTCCCTAACCTTTCGTGTTGAGCAAACAAATTTGTTTCTCTTGAAGTTCAAGCGGCTGATATAATTTTATGAGGTTTGGTTATCTAAAGGAAGATAGTTTCTTGAGGCGTTACTTTTTGTTCAGTCCTCAAATTTAAATAAAATGTTCATGTGGTTGGTGCACAAGATACATATGTATTTTTTGGTTTATTTTTTTATAAATAAGTTTGTTTTATGAGAACTTAAGGAGTGTGAGAATTATGAGTGTGAGAATTGTACTTATAATATTTAATGCATTCTGAGTCTTGTCTTGTCATAATGTTTTGCCTTGACTTGCATGCATTTGTTTATTATCAAAATGATGTTTCTTTTTATTCAATATTTTGAGTGTTGGGTAGTATATCACTTCAACTAATTTATGCTCTTCTTAATTTTGGTATTATGATCTGGGTGTAATGCCCATTGTGTTTTTTCTATGGGAGGATGGTAATGTACAGTTCAATAACTAACATGGACCTGCTCTGTTACCTTTTTTATGGTCAAACCATTTACATAGTAATCGAGATAGGATCCTGACCCTTGAAGTACTCATGATATACTTTTAGGATATAAAAGAAATATAAAATCAGCTATACACTAAAGGTTGGAAATGCTGGTGAAACAAAAATTAGTTATCTGCATATTGTAACAATAGTCATCCTATCCTTATTCACTAAGGTATAAGGATATTTCCTGAATATATTATTTGTTAGGTTTTTTGTGTTTTAAAGCGTTTAAAGTTGATTTTAGGACATTATATGATTTCATAAAAGGGACATAGCTATCCACCTACGTTATGCTTTTCTTTATTCTTTGCGAGGTTTCATTTTCCCATTTGGGAAAATTGTGGTACATAGGGTTTGTATGTAAGTGATTTGGTGAAGACATTCATATTATGTTTGACTTTTCCTTTGATTTTGATTGTTTTGTCAGCTTTTGGCTAGCACTTAGTCTTGACAAGGTAAATGGTGGTAATTTGGACTTGGACTGGCTCTTGGTTTGCAATGTAATCTTTTCTAGATTGCTTCCACTATGCATACCTACTCTCTATAAATGCACTTATGGGACTCTCATCATAGTGAAGAGTGGTGGAAAATTTTCATGTGTTGTTTTCCAAAATATTGTTTCTGATGTTCAAAATTTGAAATTCACTCTCTCAAAAAAATAAAAATAAAAATTGAGATTCAATAGGTTATGGTGGATGAATATGATTGACAGATAAAAGTGACATAGTTAAGTCTGAGGCGAAGACTATCTATTAATCTTTGGAGGTTTTCAGGTCCATGTTAGAAGGGCCCAGTTGAGGATTACATTTTCTTTTCTTTTTACCTGAGGTGGATTTATATTTCTTTTTCCTCTTAACTGTCAAAAGAAAATATGTACTTCCCTTTGCATCATTGCATCAGAGTTTCTTAATAAATTATTGACAAAAAATGTCAGGAGAATCTTAGATAACTGGAAGAAGAGGAGCATGAGTTGGTGGCTATGCATATATATATATGGTCTTTTTCTTTTTTGTTGGGGTTTACAAGGGGAGGGAATGTTAATTTGGTATTTTGTCAATGGAGAAGTGGGAGATGAGGTTTTGATGTGACCTTTTGCATTTGGGTGAGGTTTGTGCTATGGATGGCAATTTGCTGGAGTTTGGCTGGTGTTAAGATTTGTACGGCAAGGTTTTCTTTTGCAATCTCTTGATAGAGAGATAATGGAAATAGGTATAAAAACCTCTTCTGAGAGTGGCAGTTGGTATTGTTCATATCGCATTCCAAATGATTCACATGCTTTAAGGACCTTAGATTCAAATGGCTCTTCTAAAGATGGAACAATTTGAAAAATTGGGGTCATTTAGAGTATCCTATATGAGACCTGTTTTTTTTTTTTGTGTGCTCGTCATGATTGTGTTTGTACCTTGGAAGTTTGGTTCAGAGAGATGTACTTGTGTCTCTGTGCCTCTGTCCATTTAGGTTTTAATTGCGATCTTTTGAGCGTGACGTTGTCTGGCACTTGAAAAGTTGCTGTTTTCATAAGGAGAGATTAATGATAAATGCTTTTCCTCCATTGTTGGTTTCCCAACAGACTGGAGTTTCTTTAGGTACAGATTGCTCTCTCTCTTTCTCTCTCACACACACACACACAGATACAGGTCCATGCTTCTAGTCTTGATGGATACACTTGTCCGTCAGAGTTATTAGTGTGTAAGGAGTTATATTTCTTTGCTTTAGTCTGGAACTCTGGATTACATGGGATTTAAAGATGTCAATCCTCTCGGCCGTCGCGGTGGTTCGCCAATTCAGTGGTACGTGGCTTGATTCCTTCTTTCTTTTAGCCCAGCTCCTTCCTCCTACTGACACGAGCCTTAGTCCCCCCTCATTGGCCAGTCGGTACCAAACTTAGCATATAAGTAGCTACAAGAAGCAAGAGGTATGACAAACCTGTCTGAACGAAAGCAGACGCCATAGAACTCGTTCAGTCGTTAAGCTAGACGAGGCCAGGCGAAATTTGCCGAAATCTAGACACCACCTGAGGTTTCATGGGAGTTTTTGAAAGGGCTGGTAGGTTGAGTATTTTGAATGGATTTTACTACAATTTTCACATGGAGATTGTTGGCCTAAGGCACTCCATTTGATCATGGGAGATTAAGAAGGTCCCCTAATCATGCAACAAGAGAACTACCATCCTTGTAATTACGCACAACCCCGTCCCTATACTTGCCAGTCTATGGGTGTTCCTGCATATTTAAAGGTAAAGTCTTTTGTCACATGAACCTAAACCATTCATAAGCAAACAAAGCAATTGCATATAGGAGGAATGGGAATCTCACTGCTATGAAATCATCCCAAACTGTCTCTTCAGCAGTCACCACCTTTGTAGCAGGAGGAATGGGAATCTCACTGCTATGAAATCATCCCAAACTGTCTCTTCAGCAGTCACCACCGTTGTAGCATCATTCCAACCAAAGCCCGATCCAGAAAGGAGTTCTTTCACATTGTTATATTTCTCCTTCAGTGTTTTCAGACTATTCCCTGGCCTTTCTTTATCAAACTCCTCGCCATATTTGTCGTTCATTGCCCTCTCCATGTCATTCCAGGCTTCTTTGGTAAACCTCCTTTTATTTTCCGCCTTGCCTTGACCTCATTTACCCTAACCTCGATAACCACGGTAAAGTCACCATGAGGCTTTTCTGCTTTAGTGGACCCGTCAGGAGGTCATGAACAAAAACCCCTTGTCAATGAATAGAGCAATCCATTTGATTTCATCATGTAGGCCTTTTATGTATGAGATAAAAAGAACTTACAAAAAAACTTGTTAGAGAATGAGTGATTTCCAAAATTTGGTTCTTTTTTAATTATCATTAAAAAATACTTTGTTCTTTTTTTGATAATGTTAACTATTGTATTGAGTAAGAGAAAAGAGTACAAAGAATAAGAGCGGGAGGCCCCATCACAAGTGGGGCTCTATATAAAAACCTCACGGGTCTAAAAAATGTGTCCCTCTGAAGGGGCTACCAAGAAATTCTTCTAATATACAATTTAGGGTAATAAGAGCAAAGTAAAAGAAAAGGAGCCGGGAGTGAACATCAAGCTCCAGTAGGCAAAAGAGAGGGTGAGGAGGGCCCAGCTTTTGCAAGAGCGTCTGCAATAGAGTTGGCTTCTGCTGAATGTGTCTCCACGAGACTTGAGAGACTGCGCAGAAATGGGAGATCTCATCGTAAAGGTGCTGTAGCCTCCAGGGGCTAGGTGCCGCTCCTGAAGCTCACGCAATAACGTTCCTGTTGTCCCCTTCTATGATGAGAGAAGGTTTCCAGGCTTGGTTGAAGGCTCTAGGGCCTTCAAGGAGTGTGATGACCTCAGCTGAAGTTGAGTCTGTGACACCTATATGTTTGGAGTAGGAGTGCACTGTGTGCCCCTCAGAATCTCTAAATAGGCCTTCGACCCCTGCTGTTCCTGGGTTGCCCAGCAAGCAGCCATCGAAGTTCATAGTGATTTGGTCGTGGATGGGATGTCGCCAAAAGGAGGAGCTAGGAACTTTTGTGGGGCGCCAAGAGATGAGGGACTGCCAGCTTTGGTGGAAGTCCGAGTAAGAGGCATGCTTAAAGAACATGCTATTCCTGGCCCATTAAATAATAGAGGATCTTAGGATGTCGATGAGGGAGTCAAGGGTTTTTATCTTGCCTTGGAAGATTCTATGATTTCTCTCTGTCGATAAGGTGCATAAAAGGCCAGACACTGCAGTTCTCTAAAGGAGTAGCCCTGGCTTGGGCCAAGGGGGGATAAAAGCTTCTGAAAAGTATGAGGGATGGATGGAGGTGTAACCCACAGCGGGCAATGGATGAAGAGATGAGGGTTAGATTCCTCCTTGTTGAGACACATGATCCATTGTAATTGATCCACCGCTAGGGCTCTTTTCGAGCACGCTATCCACGTGAACCATCTAACTTTAGGAGAGAGGTTTGACTAGGCATGCACTGAGAGGGAAGGGGATAGAGAGATGGCATGAGTCTGTATCACCCTTTAGAAAGATGAGACTGTGAAGGTTTTGAGGGTGTGGGGGCCCAGACTAAACCGTCTTGGCCCTGGCTAGGGAGGAAAGAGAGTGGAACAATGAACAAACGGCAAGGAAGTTGGCTTCCTCATGCTCCATCAATGGTCTTCTAAACCTGGGGCTCCATACTCTGGTAACCCCCATCGTGTTGGAGTACTTCACAACTGTGGTGCCTAGGTTGGAGGCCAGGAGGTAAAGATTTTGGAACCTTTCCCTAAGCGGGGAATGGCTTATCCATAGGTCCGACCAAAACTGGATTTTGGTGCTAGCTCTAGCTTGAAATTGAGAGTGGGCCTTGAAGAGAGCAAGGGACCGTTTAATAGCTTTCCAAGTTCCTGAGCAATGGTTGAGCCCACCCCTCTTGGGGGAGCCAAGTGGAGGCTGGGATGCGATATTTTGACGAAAGAACCTCTCTCCAAAGGTGGTTATGGTGGGTGGAGAAGCACCACCATCATTTTCCTAACATGGCCAAGTTGCAGAGCTTGAGCCTTCGGATGCCGAAGCTACCACAGCCCAAATGGGCCCACAAACTTTGTCCTAGGAGATCAGGTGGAACTTTTGACCTCCCTCGCCAGACTAGAGGAACTGCTTCATAAATTGTTCTAAACAGTTAAGGACCTAGGCAAGCATGAGGAAAACGGACGTTTGGAAAACTAGAATATTTGAGAGAGTTGCCTTGATTACGGTCATGCGACGTGCAAGAGAGAGAAACCTGCCCTTCCAGGCTGGAAGTCGTTGATCGAATTTATCTATCAGATGGCTCCAGAGGCCTTGTTTTGGCTTCCCTAGACAAAGGGGGAGACCTAGGTAGGTGGAGGGAAATTGATCAACTACGCAACCCCAACGGGCTGCCAGAGGTTCCACAGATTGGCTGTTCAAGGCGGCAACCATCATAGAGGATATGGCCATATTAACTCGGAAGCCCGTTGCCATTTCAAAACACTTCAAGAAAACTCGCAGGGTGTTTTCCTGCTAGGTCAAGGCTTTCACACAAAATGTGTGTGTCATCCGTGTATTGCAGATGAGAAAACACAGGCCCATGGGTCCCAGAATTGAAGCCCGATAGTAGGCCAGTGCTGTAGAGGCTAGAAATGGACCGGCTAAAAACCTCAGCCACAATAGCAAACAAGAAGGGGGAGAGGGGATGATCTTGCCTCAGTCCCCGAGAAGAGCTGAAAAAGCCTCTGGGGGAGCCATTAAGGATAATGGAGAAGGGTGGCCGAGGATACACACCCCTGGATCCAGTTACCAACCGGTGGCCGAAGCCCATTCTAGTCTGGATTTGGTCGAGAATGGACCAGTCTATGTGGTCATACACCTTCTCCCTGTCTAATTTGATGACCAATCATGGAAGCCTAGCTTGGTGCCGTGAGTGAATGCACTCATGAGCAACGAGGGCTCCGTCAAGAATTTGGTGGTCCTTAACAAAGCACCTTGAGAAGGGGAGATAACCCAGTGGAGGACTTCCGTGAGCTTGGTGGCCAGAACTTTGGATAACAATTTGTAGGAAGAGTTCACGAGGCTGATGGGCCGAAAGTCTCGAAGCTCGTCTGCTTCTTCGAATTTTGGAATTAAGGCAATGAACGTACCATTCATAGCCCTATGGACAATACCCCGAGAATGGAATTCGTTGAAGAAGGAGAGGATATCAGCCTTTGAAGAGAGCAACCGGATTTCCATCTGGGCCGGGTGCTCGGTCTTGGCCGAGGTCTTTTACAGCTCTGAGGATCTGATCCTCAGTGAAGGGTTGCTCAAGCCACTCAGCTTGTTCTGGTGGGTTGGACCGGAAGGAGAGATTCGCCATGAAAGGCCGTGTGCGAGTGGGTTGGGTTGAGAGAACAGGGTTTGAAAGAAATCAATTATAGCCCCTTCTACAACGGGGCCTGGTCGAGGATGAGTTTGCCTACTCTGATGTGGGTTTGAGCTTTGTTCTTTTAAGCAAATGTATGCACAACTTAGAGAATCATTTATGTAACAAACAAATTTCCCTTGGCCAAATAATGCTGTAGATGGGTGTTGAGCCCCACCTATGAGAATGTGGTGAATCTAGTGTTCGCTTGGGCACCTACGCGTACGCCAGTGTCCCATAAGTGACTTAGATACTTTAGCGCAGTTTTTGGATGGCCTTATTGCATCTGTACGTTTCTTTCTAGTTACTGAAAGCATGCGTTTTTTATTTATAAGAGTTTTATAAACAAGTCATAAGTGGCATATGTGGCTTAGTGGTGGAATGTATAATATAACTTCAAAGAATTGTACGATCGGTCCCTAAGAGAACCTGTTCTATTCTAATATATGCCTTCATGCATCGTGGGGTGTTGGCACATTTGAAAAGTGGGCATACAACATCACCTCAAAGACCTCGGCTTGGGGGAACACTGGCTGAATCAAAGTAATCAAGAGAAAGTATACCATGCACCACAAGTGGATGGTATGCAGTAGACCACAGGGGCATCCATCGTCTATTTTTGATGACTAGCAGTGGAGATCAACTGTATTTTGTGATGTGGTTTACAATTGGCACATCCATTGATTTATGATTGTACTTTCCCATGATACTTGAGTGATCTAGAGCAGGTGTAAAGGTAAAGAGGTGTTAATCTTTGACTGGGTTCAGTATTCAATGTTCTCGCTTGGAGAAGATTATCCAACAGAAAGGCACTTCGCATGATTGTCATCCCCTTTCTTTACAGAAAATATCTGATATCGTATACATATCATAGATGTTCTTTTTTTTAACAAAGAATATATTCTAAGCATCTTTCTTTCAGGTCAAGCAACATTATATATTTTGAACAAAATTTGATGCATGGTTTTGTATGATTAAAGGTTGGCTGGGGTTATTCTGCCCATGCGTGCTGTTTGGGCGCAATGTGGAGCGCATTAAAGAGGAGATCCCATGGACCAGACCCTGTACCTGCCATGCTATCTTTGTCGAGGGTGGCATTGCCCTTGCAGCTGCTACTGCGATATTTCATGGTGTCGACCCTAGGACTTCTTTTCTCATTGGTGAGGGCCTATTTTTTGCATGGTGGATGTGTGGAATCTACACTGGTCTGTTTCGGCAAGAGTTGCAGAAGAAGTACCATCTTAAGGTGATCTATCCCATCTCTCTCTCTCTCCCCCCCTCCCCAAAACACCCCCCCTCCTCCTTTTCCCCCTTCCGTGTCTATTTCACACGTACACATTGGAAATAGTCTCCATATAAAACTTCCCACAATAGATATATTGCTTTTGATAAGTTTATGGAAGAAGACTTGTTTGATATTATTATCTCTATTATCAAAATAAAACGTTCAGTTCTTGTAAGTATACAGAGCAAAAAAATACTCCAGTTTGTGGCATTTGTTATTTGTGGTTATCTTTTCTTTTCTGTCACTTGAGGCTTTTTACTCTTTGATTCTCTTCCTATATACAAGCAAAATGACTTTCAGCTGCTAGTTCCCTTTTTCGCGTAATCCACACACGCATGCACACCGACCCCAATTTTTAACTCTCCCAATCAATTATAATTTCTAACTCACCAAATTTATATTTTCTTTTTTATTTAATTTTGTTTTCCTATTTTTTAAAAAATTTGCAGAATTCTCCTTGTGACCCATGCCTGGTACATTGCTGCATGCACTGGTGTGCACTATGCCAAGAGCATAGAGAGATGAAGGAGCGCCTGTCTGATAACACTGTGATGCCCATGACCATCATCAATCCCCCTCCTGTCCAAGAAATGCAAGTGCCTGACAACCCGGAACCTGCTTCCCCTTCTGAGAAGCGCAATGATCGCACCACTCTTGAGATGCAGCCATTATAATACCATCCCTGCAAAAAATAAAACTCATACCCCGATCCATTTGTATACTTTTAACTCATATTTTTGTTCCTCTCTTATCTTTTATCCATTCCATCTCATCTCTCTCTCTCTCTCTCTCTGCCTTCTGTTTTTAACACTTCATTTGTTTTTGTTTTGTTTCTTTGGTGGGTCATTTCATCAGCATGGGATTGGAGTTGGTACTTGGTGGTTTGGAATTTGCATAGACTATTGTTTTTATGAACTGGTACTGGAATGAGGAAATTTTGAAACATAGAAAATATTATAGATATACAGGATTATTTTTCTCGTGTGTTAGATGGAATTATCCTGTTTTCGTAAAGTCACTGGACTATCAGAACAATGTGTTTTTTCTTGATGGGTGTATAGGTGTATCCCTATTCAAATGTGGTCTCCCTCCAAAAAATCAGTCTTAGAGATGGATTTGTGGGTCGATAATCTTGATGGCTAAGATCATGAATCTTAAAAAAGAAAAGAAAAAGGCATTTCGAATCTTAAAAACAGACCATTTTAAACTTTGTGTATGGATAATTCATTATAATTCTTCGCAGATCATCAAATCTTTTAAGCAACAAAGTGTAAGGCAGAAATGCATCTGGCGCGCATTTTAAATCCTAAACAATTACTACGATCGATTTTCGTTGAGGGGACGTATTTGATTGGAGACGCACCAAACTTTTACATTTTCAAGTTAATATAACTCTCTCTCTCTCTCTCTCTCTCTCTCGCTGTGGAATAAGGTACATCTAGGAGATGTTATCAGAGAAGTTTGTTTGATGCTGCTCTTTTTAGTCTCTCAAAGAATGTAAATGCCAACATTTGTGCATTTCATTTTTATTTTATTTTTAAAAATGTTCTAATCCTTAATCGGGTTTCATTATTTAGCAGGGATTAAAGTATGATGTTTTCTTCTATTTCTTTAGGGCTTGTGTGGATGATATTTAATTTTATATGGAGCGATTATCTTATTTAAAATTAATATACTTTGGATGATGTTATTTTGTTAGTTGTTTGGTATGCATCTTTTATCAAGTATAATATTCGTTAATTGTTTTAACTTTTTTGAGATTTTCAACTATTGTTAGGTATGTTTGGCAAAAAAAAAAAAGAAGATGCAGTTTCCATCAAATTATATTGAATAAAGTAGTTCGAGTAAGATGAGAGACTGAGTTAGCGAAAAGATATGCTCTTGTGGGTCCATTTGCTCCCTCAGTTAAATATCAAGCTAGGAATATTTAGTAATTCTTTTAGGACCTCAAATTTTTAGGGATATAACCTCTTGAGTGTTGCAATCACCTTAAAAAAAATAAAAAATAAAATCAAATTACATATTTCATTTGCTTGAAAAGAAATAACGTCTTCAGATTGAAAAAGGAATATCTAATTTTTGGAGGACAGGATGTAAGTGTTGAAGAACTCAAAATTCAATTTTCCTTATTTTGAAACTGATTGTCACGTAATTCTCATCTCTATCCCAAAAATTCAATTATAAAAACATCATAGTATCTCTTTTGCCACTTCGGATCACGCAATATGCAACCATTAGGATAAAGCACCTTTCAACAGGCAAAATTACCATGTTAATAAGTTTTTTTTTTTTTTCTCAAAGCGTTTTATTGATCTCCAAAAATATTTTCTCTTCGGGAAAAAAAAACTAATGCTTAGCTTACATGTACTAAAATTTACTTATTTAGATTGAGAATCTCTAATCAAGATTAGATTTAGTGCTTCATTGGGCCGATTTCCACATCCGGAATTGGCCCTATACTTTGTAAAACTTATTCAGATTGGGAATTGCCGATCAACTAGACCTACATAATGTTGGAAATTGTGAGTGAAATTAGGCAGGAAATAATGATTTTGCAAATGCTTTTGATGAGCAACAAAATTACGTCAACAATCTTATTTTCAGGCACAAAGTTTTTGGTATCACAAGACAATATTTGTCTTTTATTGATAATAATCAATATCTATCGAAGTTCTCCCGACAAATTTCTATTGAGATATAAAGACATCGAACATCAAATATTATCTTGTCTATACAAGTACAACAAGATTTAGAGCACCTAGGTTGTTTCTATTCTTGAGAGATAAGTTTTTTTTTTTTCTTAGACAAGTGTTTGTAACTTTTATTACTGACTAAAAAAAGGAAATTACATCATTAGCGATAACAAGAGAAGGCATTAGAGATAACAAGAGAAGGCATGGAAACACCACCCCTAGCCAAAGAGTCTGTCAAAAAGTTTGCTTCACGATAAACATGGGTGAAAGAAACTGACATAGTTTTCACCAAATCTATAACCTGCAACCAAAAGGATCGAAGCTCCCAAGGGACATTATGCTCTTTCTGATACAATCTAATAACATTCAAAGAATCCCCTTCAATCCAACAATTTCTACCAAGATTCCTCTTAGCCAAGATTTTCAGCAAAACTGGCAGTTTTGACCCCAATCGGACTGGCATAGGAAAAAAGGATATTACCCGAATATTCACGCAAAACACCACCGATCCCAGATAGACCCGAATTACCTAGAGAACTACCATCAAAGTTCAGCGTAAAACTTCCAAAAAGAGGCGCGGTCCAAATACTTCATGGTCTACGTCTGACATTCCCAATAATGAACAGGTTACTTAAATTGGCCATAACATCAACCTTGAAAATGCCCCACCCCTCTTTTGTCATAGACAACCAAGACCAAATCGAAAATTTTGATGTTATTTAATATCCTCTCAAGAGGTAGAGCATTCCCATCAAAAGTCCTTCTATTTCTTTCCGTCCATACTTCCCATAGAATGGCACCTTTCACTATTTTCCATATAAATTTTCCAATCTTAGGCAAGTGGGAAATAGAGAATTTTGATATTGTCCCTACAATCGATGAAGGAAGTACCAGATTGATCCTTAGAATCCCAAAGAGCCAATACCAAATTCTTACCGAATGAGCAATGGATGAAGATGTGTCACCAGACTCCCCGTCAGCATTACAAAGAAGACAAATATTTGGCAATATTTTCTCCCTTTTGATCAGATTATTAATAATTAAGATCTTATTCAAGCCGCCAACTAAATAAATACCTGAATTTTATGTGGAATGGGCCATTTCCATATTTGAGCAATCTAAGGGTAAGACCATCTCCATCGATCATGAAAGAACAAATTATAACAGGATTTAACAGAGAATACTTTATCACTCTCAATCTCCCCAATCATTTCATCCCCTGCATTCAATGAGACATAGACCTTATCCAATTCCATCAAAACACACCATTACAAAAATACCACATTGCCCCAATGATTATAAGCTAGGAAAATATTCCACGACGTTAAATGGCCCCTTCGTTCTATAGAGAGAGAAGTTCATTTGAGAAAATAGGTATTAATAAGTGGATGCCAAACGATATATAAAAAGAAAAGGTCAAGTCCTATAAATATAAAGAGAATGTTTTTTTATTCTTTTTGGGAAGGTCTCAAAATGACCGTTCTTGAAAGATGAAGAATTATGATTCTTTGTATCTCAAATGTAGCCAGTTATAAAATAAACATTGAGAGTGGTATGCTCCCGCGTAACACACTTGCATTTTGGTGCTGCAGGACTACACTATTACCAGCCATGATAAATTTATGCCAATGTCCGTTTAAATTTCCTTTATTCATTTTTTTTTTTCTTTTTAAAGTTTGATTTTACAAAATACCATTTTTTGGATTTTTAAATTTTTTTTTTCAAAGTGCCCCTCCTTCGAATTTTGAAAGTCAACACTTATTTCAAATATTAATAATGGATATTCAAAATTTACTCACTGAAAATCAATTTCGAGCCTTCAACGTCTAAAGTTAGTTTAAGACTATAAAAAAAATGTGGAGTGCTTACAATGGCCATAAAATACAAAATCTATGTATTTCATCTATATCACCTCTGGGTCACTTACCCAAAACAAACTCTCCACATACAAAGTCAAAAGTTAATGTATGTGGACAAAACAACTTCAAACCTTGAAGCTCCCAACTAATGACAATTATGAAAAAAAGTAAAAATACTTAGGGAAAAAATTATATAAGAGTGATGCTCTAAACAATCAATTTGAGGAGCACCACAAAAATCCATTAAAAGAGCTTGTTTTGAAGCCAAAAAATCCTCAAATTGATCTCAACCTCAAAATGTATGAACATGAGAAAAAATGGATTTCAAGTATTAGAAGTAGTACATTTTGTAATGCATTTTACGACCATCACTTTTCAAGATGTTCAAGTGTTCATAGATCCGCTTGATCTACACTACTTTTGAAGTTAGAATTTTTATAATTAGAGATGAAAATAAATTTTCAAGCTATCACAAAGATTTGAGCATTGCAACAAAATTTTTTATTTTTTTTAACAACAGTACTAAATATTATTAGATACAGCGGAATAATTACAATAAAAAATTCAACAAAGAAGAAGAAATAACCATATAATCTAATGAAGCACCATTTTTTACTAAATCATTCGCGATGGTATTTGCTTCTCTATAGATATATTTGAAACTGAAATTGTAGCTCGAAGATAAGTCCTGAATTTGCAGCCATAAAAAGCGAATATGCCAAGGCGGTCTAGATAAGCAATTACACCAGTTGGTGACATTATTTGAATCTCCTTCTATCAATAAACAATCCCCAAACCTTTATCTTTCCAAATTAGCAAACCTTATAGCAAAGCTGCCAACTTTGCGTGATTAGCAATGGAAAAACCACATGGGTCAGCATAACAAGAGACAAGGGTACCTAAGAATCTCAACATATGCCTCCCACACCTGCACGTCCATGATTATCAAAAGAAGACCTATCAAAATTAAGTTTATCGCAACCCAAAGGAGGAGAAACCCATATACATTGAAGCTTTACCATAGCATAATACTGAAAAACCAGATCCATCAAATTATTCTCAACATCAATATTAGAAATACCCCAACCTTCCTTTGTCACCTTTAACCAATTCCAAGTAGTGAACAATATATTATTTTTAATCACCATCAGATCCACAGCCACCCCATCAAAAACCTTGTAATTCCTTTCTAACTATAGTCCCCATAAAAGAGCTCCTCTTAGAATATCCCATATAAAAACTCTAAGTTATGGCATTCCACACAATTTCGTATGACTCATCAGATGAAAAACTAATGAAGGGAGAGGCATAAGCACGTCTACTTGTTGCATTGCCTAACACCATAGATGATAAGTGTTGCATTGCCTAACACCATAGATGATAAGTGTATGGACAGTGTAAAAAGAGGTGATCAACAACCTCCTCTTCCTCTTTCCCAAATAAACACATGTTAATGGTTATAGCTCTCTTTCTCAAGTTATCAGTTGTTAAAGTTTTATTTTGTGCAAGTATCCAAATGAAGATTTGTCTCTTAAATGGTTTTGGCCATTTCCAGATTTCCTGTAAATAAGGTTGGTCCCATCCAATGGTTTAAAAAACGGATCGGTGACTCGGATCGGGCTTCCAAAAACCGATCCGGATCGGCGAATTGGCGATCCGGATCGGGAATCGGGTGAATCGGTCAGAATAAAGCTTAAAAAAAATTCGAAAAAATTATTAAAATTCATTATAAATATTGTTTTTTAGGAATTCAATAAAAAATGAGGGTACTCC